GAGTAGCTAGGATGACAGGCGTGAGCCACCGGCGCCTGGCTTTCGCACGGAAAAATTTTGAGCTGAGGTTTAAGAAGTGTAAAGTTTACCAGCATTTTTGTTAATCATAACTCTTCAGAGCACACAACCACAAATATCATCTTGCTGTTAAGGAAATTAGCTTATATTTAGTAAACAGCATTTTCATTAAAAACAGAATCTTGAGCAAAACCAGTAAGCCTACAAGTATTTATAGTAGCTCTGTGCCCAGAGAAAATTCAGATTGAGTTCAGAGCCAAGGGAATTTTGGTACTGATATTGATATGATCTAAAACGTTTGAGCTTTACTTTCAGACAACATTATTGGGTTCCTCAAAGCTCGTGACTCATCCTCTAGCCTTTATTCAGAGAGCAATTAAAAAACAGCCGTGTAATTATATACACAGAGTAAAACGGGTATATTCACTTTGGCAGCGAGAAATGAATAATTTAGTTGGAATAACTCCACAGCTGTGAGGAAGAGCTACACAGGGAAAAAAAAATCATCCATTTCAATGTCTCTCATGAAAACAGTTTGAAGAAATTACCAGCAATTTGCCCAGAACATTAAAAAAAAAAGGATGCCGAGTTTATTATTATTATTTTTAATCTTGGGTTGAATCTAGGAACGAAAAGATTAAATACAAGACCTTGTTCTAATTTGATAAAAATGGTCACATTTTGATCCAAACAGGGAGTTCTCAGTTACTCTCTCATAGATCTGTCGCTCCCAAAGGCTGTTTCTGACACTAAAAGCACTGATAGTAAATGGAGGTGTAACGCAGTGATGTGAACGTAAATGATGATTAACCTAGCTGTGCTTGTGTTTGTCCTGGTAACAGCCCGTCTGCAATGAACTCTGGAAGACTGCACGGTGGACACTGTGTACTTGCATCGAGGCAATCAAGTCAGGGCGGACATACCTTTACTAAGCCGTTTTTATGTCCAGGCACTGAGCCGTTGACGTAGATTATATTGTGCTTCGTGTTGACCCTCCACACCTAGAACATCAAAGGAAGGAAGGTGGCTTTTAGCAGTTAACACTGGGAACAATTAGTATCGCTCAGACTAAGCGTAGCCCGTCAATAATCCTGCCAGCTGCACAAGACCGCATCTCCAGAGCTTGCATGCTCACCACAACAGGCAAGACTTCTCGCAAAGCTCTCACTGTGGGCAGCCAGGAGAGCCAATGGGCCGAGACCATTTGTGTTGTCCTTTGAAAAAAATGTAATTTTAGCCAGCCACTGGTGGCTCACGCCTGTCATCCTAGCTACTCAGGAGGCTGAGATCTGAGGATCGTGGTTCAAAGCCAGCCTGGGGCAGGAAAGTCTGTGAGACTCTTATCTGCAATGAACCACCAGAAAACAGGAACAGCAAAGATGTAATTTTATTTTTTTGCTGCAGCTAGAAACGGAGGAGTGCAGTGGGCGGGATCTGATTTCTAACGTAAGTGCGCTGAGTGGACGGCCTTCAGAAAGAGGGACAAACACTGCACGTGGGAGAAGACAGTCGAGAGATGACTGAGGAGAGGGAACATTTGGGAGAGGAGAGATCTACGAGGGCTGACAGGTGGAAAGGGCGCCCTTAGGCAGCCTAAGAGGGGCTCTTCAGAACTCAGAGTGTGTGTGTGTTTAAGAGGTAGGGGAAGAGGAAGGAAGAAAAAAAGCAGCGTGTTTGCTGGGCTGGGAAGGTGGCTCAGTGGCAGAGTGCTTGCCTCAAGTGCATGAGGCCCTGGGTTCGATTCCTCAGCACCACATAAGCAGAAGTGGCTCGAAAGTGTGTGTGTGTGTGTGAGAGTGAGAGTGAGAGTGTGGGGGTGTGTGTGGGTGTGTGTGTTTAGGTGAGAGAGAGAGAGAGAGAGAGTGTGTGTGCGCATGCTTGAGAGAGAGCTTAAGAGGTAGGGGAAGAGGAAGGAAGAAAAAAGCAGCGTGTTTGCTGGGCTGGGAAGGTGGCTCAGTGGTAGAGTGCTCGCCTCAAGTGCATGAGGCCCTGGGTTCAATTCCTCAGCACCACATAAGCAGAAGTGACGTGCGAAAGAGTGTTTAGCCTCGTGAGTGAGAATGTGTGTGTGTGTGTTTAGCCGAGAGAGAGAGTGTTTAGGGTTCGATTCCTCAGCACCACACAAGCAAAAAGAAAAAAGCTGAAGTGTCACTGTGGCTCAAGTGGTAGAGTGTAGCCTTGAGCTGAGGGACAGCGCCCAGGCCCAGAGTTCAAGCCTCACAACCGGCCAAAAAAGCGTGTGTAGACTTGCCACCCGTGTGTGAGCGCCACCCAGTGGCTGGGCCCTAACACACCCCATCCTATCCCCACTGTCAATTGACCTTCCGCCTCACACCGAGGCTTTCCACGTTGCTTTCCCCGTCTCTTCACCATCTTGTCTCACCTGTCCATCCTGTGACGCAGGATGTAAAATGTGTACACTTTTGCGAATAAAAACTTACCAAAAAAAGCTGATCCTGAGGCTAAAACTCAGGGCCTAGCCATTGCTCTTGTGCTCAACCACTTGAGCCACAGGTCCACTTCCAGCTTTTTGGTAGCTATTTGGAGAAGTTTCAGACTTCCCTGCCCAGGATGGCTTCAACCTGTGATCCTCAGATCTGTTTCCTGAGTAGCTAGGATGACAGGCGTGAGCCACCAGTGCCTGGCTTCTATATAAAAGCACACACACATGCACACACACACACACACACACACACACACACACACACACATTTACTTTTTAAAAGAGAATGGAAAGACGTGCCTGAAACCTGAGCAGCGTCTACCCCTGGTCTCTGGGTTATTTTCTTGTACCTCTGCCTTGAAACACAGCTGCAAACATATGTAGGTATAGGGCTGGGAAGGTGGCCCAGTGGTAGAGTGCTTGCCTAGCATAAATGAAGCCCTGGGTTTGAGTCCTCAGCACCACATACACAGAAACAGCCTCAAGTAGCACTGTGGCTCAAGTGGTAAAACGCTTGCCTTGAGCAGTGCCTAAGCCCTGAGTTCAAGCCCAAGGACGGGCAACAAACAAAAATATACAGGTATGAAGTTATTTTCAATATTTAACATAGCACCTATGATAATACAACACAACTGACATTTCTCAGGTTCATAGAGATCAAAAGTCAGCCTCTTTCTTTTAAATACACCGGTATCTGTAATAAACACCTTCTACCAGGCCCATGCTGGGCAGGTGCTCTGCTACTTGGCCCACGCCCTCCCCCCTCTTGCTTCTCTGAAGCTAACCTTCACAGCACGGCCTCAGCCTTTGACCTGAGGCTCCCATCTCTACCTGCAGAGAGGCTGACGTCACAGTTGTGACCCGGGGATCCTTCAGGAGGAACGTTCTCCCCTCCTCTCCTGACCGACAAGGAAACGCAGAGGGACACGTACTGTAGGGCTCTCTGGCATCCTTCTTCACAGAAGGAGAATATTCTACCTACTGGCCCTGTCGTTTGGTCACAGGCGTCTGAGAACATCCTTCCAGAACTGCTGGATTCGGAACTAGGCTACTGGGCGTGTTGGGGGGTGGCGCGCAGGCGCATGTGCACATGGAATGGCGGCGGTCACCGACAGGGGGATGCCCACACTTACTCTGAGTCCAAATGACGTCCGGTCCACGTTCCCCATTCTCCCGGGCAGTTTGGTTCCGGGCCACACTCTAGCGACATCCTGACAAGAAAACCAAAGTGAACACTATGCACACCCACCAAGAGCCCCAGCACACCCACAACACAGAGCGCCGGCCTTCCGCCCGCAGTCGGCAGGAACGTCTTTCGGAGCTGGTAACAGACGACACTGAAGGAGCCAGCCCAACTACACCACAGCACATGGGGGGGGGGGGGGAGACCCAGAAAAGGGGTCAGGGATGGGAAGATGAAATTGGCACTTAAATGACATCATGACTTTCTCATTAACCACAACCTGATTATTTTTGTCTGTTGTGGGGCTTGAGCTCTGGGCCTGGGCGCTGTCCCTCAGCTCAAGGCGAGCGCTCTACCACTTGAACCACAGCGCCACTTCCGGCTTTCTGATGTTATTGGAGGTAAGAGTCTCACAGACTTTCCTGGCTTTGAACGGTCATCCTCAGCTCTCAGCCTCCTGAGTAGTTAGGATGACAGGCGTGAGCCACTGGTGCCCAGCCACAATTTCATTTTTCACATGGAAAAGGTAAATGAGGTTTGACCAAAGAGAAGAAAAACATCAAGACACAGAATCGGCACGTCCACGGTGAAGGAAGACTTGTGGCCACGCTCCCTGTGTCCTCTGTCCCTTGGCCCTTCCTGCCTGTGTCCCCGCATCCTGTCTTGTCGCCGCTGTCCCCTCCCCTCCCTCGGCCCTGCTGAAGAGCTGGAGGATGAGGAGGGGAGGGGGCGGGAGGGCAGGATCCCCCTTCTTCCTCATACTTACCCCAGTTGAGATGGCTCCTGGTCTCCTGTGGGTTTTCGTTTGGCCGTGAGTAGCAGGTTGCCCTTTAAATCCCCATCTTTTCATAACGCCCTGAAATCCTTTTCCGATACTGAAAAACATAACCCACAAAATGTGCATAGAGACTGGTGTGGAACTGGGCGTTGGTGGCTCCTGCCTGTCATCCTAGCTACTCAGGAAGCTGAGATCTGAGGATCACGGTTCAAAGCCAGCCCAGGCAGGAAAGTCCGTGAGACTCTTCAATGAACCACCAGAAAACCGGAAGTGGCGCTGTGGTTCAAGTGGTAGAGCGCTCGCCTCGAGCTGAAGAGCTGAGAGACAGCGCCCGGGCCCAGAGTTCAAGCCCCATGACTGATTAAAAAAAAACAACTGGGGTATAGGTACCAATAAAAGTGCGTGCCAGGTAAATTACAGCTGCTAATTGAGCTCATTTTAAGCATAAATGATTATAAGATGAAAGCGTTAATTATCTGCCAGCTAATTACACACCGCGTCTCGATCTTGCAGGAGAACGCATCACGCGGCCAGCCCACGTGCCGTGGGAACCGCTTTGGTAAATAGGCTTTTACACCAAAGGCCGAGGCGGGAATGGCCCGGCAGGGACTGGCTTCATACGGCCCGGGGGTGCCCGGTGGTGGTTGGTGGCACAGGTGGCCCGCCCACTCGTAGGTGACTTTGTGAACAGAAACACAAGGCAAACAAGGATGAGAACTCCTCGGCTTCCGGTGTGCCCGGGCCATGACAGAAAAAGCCTGCTTTATACAACTATGCACATCACCACACACACAGCCCGTCTTCTTCCCTGTGCTCACGCTAGTTTTTAATTGCTGCCCACGGAGACCAATCTAATACATGGAAACTCAACTCAGAATAGAAAACAAAACAAAAACAAAGCCGGCCACCCATGGCTCACGCCTGGCATCCTAGCTACTCAGGAGGCTGAGATCTGAGGATCGTGGTTCAAAGCCAGCCCGGGCAGGAAAGTCGGAGAGACTCTGATCTCCAACGAAACACCAGAAAACCAGACTGATTAAAAAACAAAAAAACACCACCATGTGAGATATCATGGCGTTACTCAGATTTATCTGGAAATAAGGCAAGTGTTTTTTCTTTTTGTTTGCCAGTCCTTCGGCTTGAACTCTGGGCCTGGGCTCAAGGCGAGCGCTCTACCACTTGAGCCACAGCTCCACTTTTCTGATGGTTTATTAGAGAACAGAGTCTCACGGACTTTTCTTGCCCAGGCTGGCTGTGAACCATGATCCTCAGATCTCAGCCTCCTAAGTAGCTAAGATGACAGGTGTGAGCCACCAGCACCAGCTATTTTTTTTTTTAACTTCACAAGGAAAGAGCGAGAATACAAGCACTCACGTTTTGCCGGTGACGTCTACGTACTGCCCTGGGCGGAAGTGTGCGGCGTACAGGGGCGTGCCTTTGTGGGAGAACATGGAAACAGTGGGTAAGAAGCTCGTCAGCGCACAACAGCTCTGTCAGACCAAACCTGTGGCGGGGAGGGAGGCCTACCGACACCCCACAGCCAGCGCCAGGGGGCTCTCCCGCTTCTGTAAGCCCAGACATGAGGCATGCCCGGACACAGCCAAGACCGGGACACTCTTCTCCAAGGAACCACCAGAAAAAGCCAGAAGTCCACCAGACTCCTGTCCAGTGAACCACCAGAAAACCGGAAATGGCGCCGTGGCTCAAGTGGTAGAGCGCTTGCCTTGAGCTGAAGAGCGGAGGGACAGCGCCCAGGCCCAGAGTTCAAGCCCCACGATGGACGACAACAACAACAAAAATCAAGATGTGTTAGTACCAAAAAGAGAAGGAGCTGTCCACACTGCAGCGCTCACAAGCAACGCCGCCAGCCTCTAGTAACTGCTGCGCCCGCTGCTCAATTCCATTCCCTGCGCCCGGGGGTCATTCTGCTTTCGTGTTTACAACTCAAGTTCAAGAGATCAGGGAGCATGGTTTTTTTGTTTTGTTTTGGTCAGTCATGGGGCTTGAACTCTGGGCCTGGGTGTTGTCCCTCAGCTCTTCAGCTCAAGGCCAACACTTGAGCCACAGCACCACTTCCGGTTTTCTGGTGGTTCATTGGAGATGAGATCTCACGGATTTTCCTGCCCAGGCTGGCTTTGAACCGTGATCCTCAGATCTCAGCCTCTTGAGTAGCAAGGATGGCAGGCGTGAGCCCCGCTTGGGGAGCATTTCTGAAGCGCAAACACACAAATGTTGCCTTTTTTTTTTTTTCCAACTACACAGTCAAAGGTAATCATAAGCCCAGTTGCCCTTTTTGGAACTCCAGGGGCAGCAAGAGAGTCTGGAATGTTTCCGTGGAATCTGAGCCCCCGCCTGTAACCTCTTCTGACTCACCAAGAAGAGTCTAGAAGATGAGATGAAAATGCCAACCTCCCAACAGCGAGCCCCCATCTGAGAGGTGAAAGCGTTTTTCTTTGGAGCAGCTTTTTAACATGTAAGACTGTCTCACAGCACAAACAAAAGCGCTCCTCCCTCTCCCGTGAAACACAAAGAAGCCGCCACCCTTCTCCCTTGAGAGAGGGAGACTTGTTGGTTCCTGGTGATTAAATTAGATGCGGGGTTGATATGTGGAAAATAAGTGTTTGGGACTTGGTGTTTTGGATTTCACTTTTATCAGAAGGGCTGACATTAAACAAATAACAGACCTGGGTATTTCTGCCTCTCTCTGCTCTCCAACCGCAGATTACCTGGTTTAATTATAGCGTTGTCCGTGACGTGGAAGATCTTGACTTTCTCTTTGGGTGGTAATCCAAGTTGCTGGTAAAATTTCAAGACAGATGCAGGTTTCTAGAAGAAAAGGACCAAAGGTGAGGTTTTAAAATAATAAAGGTGGTGGGAGCCAGGTGCTGCTGGCTCAGGCCTGTCATCCTAGCTACCAGGGAGGCTGAGATCCGAAGATCACAGTTCAAAGCCAGCCCGGGCAGGAAAAGTCCATGAGACTCTATCTCCAATAAAACCACCACAAAACTAGAAGTGGCGCTGTGGCTCAAGTGGTAGAGCGCTCGCCTTGAGCTGAAGAGCTGAGGGACAGTGCCCAGGCCCAGAGTTCAAGCCCCACGACCGATGGAAAATAGTAATAATAATAAAGGTGGAGAGTTGAAACCAAGTTATTGAGAGCAGAGGGGAAAACACAAAAGTAAGGCATGTGTTCTTTCCTGACAGAACAAAGAGGTGAGGTTTATGCCCATCAGGAGCCGTAGGGCCCAATGTGAACACAATACTTCAGAAACAGCAGGAGAGCCGGCGCCTGCCCGGGGCTCCTGCCTGTCATCCTAGCTGCTTAGGAGTCGGAGATCTGAGGACCAGGGGTTCAAAGCCAGCCTGGGGCAGGGAAAAAAAAAAATCAGTGAGATGCTTCTCTCCTATGAATCACCAAAATAAACCAGAAGAGGCGCTGTGAGTAGCCTTGAGCAAAAAGCAGCTCAGGGACAGCGCAGGCCCTGAATCCAAGCCTCAGGACTGGTACCAAAAAACAAACAAAAAGCCCCGCAATGACAGAAAACCTCCATGGAGCCCTGTGACAAAGAAAACCATCCATGGAGCCCTGTGACAAACTGAGTAAATGCCACCGTCACCGCCTCACAGGCAGACTAGTGCTAGAGCTTCGGCAGGTGCTGTGGCTTGCTCCAGACAATCCAAGCGTCGCAGACCCCTGGGCAGAACGGCTCTCTGCACAGTCTCCCCCCACTGATGGCGACAGAACCGTCTCAGAGCCACAAAACGCGCAGATCTCCAACCTACGGCTGGAGGGATAGAAATGCGTGCTTACACGGAAGCGGGACACAGTCTTCCCTCCGACGGTCAGGGCCGCCATCTTGCCATTGTGATCTTCCTTCGAAGTATATTTTAGGACATGACAGTCTTGAACCTGAAACAAACAAACCAAAAAAATCCCACTGAGCCTGGGCCCAGACGCACAGAGCTGGGCCCCCACTCAGACCCCCGCGTGCGCCGGCCGCTGCGTACCTGCAGCAACGTGACCACGTGCTTCCGCCCGTCTTTGGTCCACAGGGGCATCATGCCCAGCTTCAGGGCGATCACACCGACTCGAGAAGAACCTGGGGAATTCAAGCCGACGCTCCTTGAATGTGTGCCAACCCCAGGCAAGGCTTTCCTACAATCGTGTTTCCGATCTGAGTGAGAGTAGGCCTAGAAGAAGTTGCAGCTAGCCGGGCGCCGGTGGCTCACGCCTGTCATCCTAACTACTAGGGAGGCTGAGAGCTGAGGATCGCGGTTCAAAGCCAGCCTGGGCAGAAAATCCATGAGACTCTTTTTTTTGTTTTTGTTTTTTGGGTCCGGTCGTGGGTCCTGAACTCTGGGCCTGGGCACTATCCCTCAGCTCTTTAGCTCAAGGCTAGCGCTCTACCACCTGAGCCACAGCGCCGGCTTTTTTTTCTGTTTGCTTATGTGGTGCTGAGGAATCGAACCCAGGGCCTCAGGCATGCAAGGCAAGTGCTCTACCACTGAGCCACCTTCCCAGACCATCCATGAGACTCTTATCTCCAGCTAGCCACCAGAAAACCAGAAGTGCTGGGGCTCAAGTGGTAGAGCACTTTGCCTTGAGCTGAAGAGTGCAGGGACAGCGCCTAGGCCCAGAGTTCAAGCCCCACAACCACCAATGACAACAAAAAAAAAGAAGTTGCAGCTCAAGTGGTGGAGTGCTAGACTTTGGGATAGTACCTAGGCCCTAAATACCAGCCCTAAGGCTGACTCTCTCTCTCTCTCTCTCTCTTTCACACACACACACACACACACACAGATAATAAAGCAAAACCAACTGTCCTCAACCATGCCTAGTGTAAATACACTGACGGCTCAATAAACACCAAATCATCAAATCAAACAAGTGGAAAAGAACTATACAACATTTTAAAAAAGTGGATAAATTAATTCATGCCAGCTTTAACAGTTTCTGAATGTCGGCGGCTCACACCTATAATCCTAGCTACTCAGGAGGCTGAGACTTTAGAATCTTGGTTCAAAACTGGCTACTGCACGTAAACTCTGTGAAGACTATCTTCAACCAGCAAAAAGCTGGATGGAGAGCTGTGGCTCAGGCGGTAAGATTGCCGCCCTTGAGTGAAAAAGCTCAGGGTCACAGCATCCAGGCCCTGGGTTCAAGCCCTGGTACTGACATAAAATAAATACAAGAGATAAATCAATACTTACCAGTTTTAAGATAATAGTGTAATCTAGGGCACAGACACCCATCATTATGCTTTTCCCAGATCAAGTTAGATCCAACAATATCAGAAAACACCATCTGCTCCAATTCCAAGCCGGGACTACAGAGATGCTATGGAGGGGACTGCTAAAATGCTGGCCACCATGGTGACGTTCAGACTTGTTGGCTAAACTGACAACATCTACCTAGCAGAGATCCCAATTTAGCCTCTCCTTTCCCGTCGCATTTTACGTTGTTTTAATGTCACACAAGAAAACATACCCAGAAGCCGGGCGCTGGTGGCTCACACCTATAATCCTAGCTACTCAGGAGGCTGAGATCTGAGGATCACGGTCCAAAGCCAGCCAGGGCAGGAAAGACTGTGAGACTCCTATCTCCAATAAACCACCAGAAAACCAGAAGTGGTGCTGTAGCTCAAGTGGTAGAGCGCTCGCCTTGAGCTGAAGAGCTGAGGGACAGCGCCCAGGTCCAGAGTTCAAGCCCCACGACCAACAAAAAAAAAAGAAAACGTACCCAGATCAATTCTCCTCTCATCTACAAAACGTTTTCTCAAGGTGTTTCATCTTTATTTAAAGGGGGTGGGGGGGAATCTTGTGGCCAGCTGGCTGACAGTGGCTTGTTCATGGTTTGAAATCTGCCCGGAGAGTAATAGTCTGTGAGAGTCTATCTTCAATTAACCAGCAATAAACAGACTGGAGAAATGGCTTAAGCGGTAAGAGTGCCAACCAAGCAAAAAAAAAAAAAGCCAAGCTAAGCTGGGCGTTGGTGGCTCACGCCTGTCATCCTAGCTACTCAGGAAGCTGAGATCAAGGTTCAAAGCCAGCCCAGGCAGGAAAGTCCGTGAGACTCTCATCTCTAATAAACTACCAGAAAACTGGAAGTGGCGCTGTGGCACAAGTGGTAGAGCGCTCGCCTTGAGCTGAAGAGCTGAGGGACAGTGCCCAGGCCCAGAGTTCAAGACCCAGGACCAACATACACTTCAGGATACAAAAATTCACAAAGTGAATGTTTTATCTGTCACTATGCTTCTCAATGTGTCCAGCCACACAGAAACTGGGTGAAGATAACGAATTAAACACAGAACCCCTTACCTGGCTCCCAAGGATGTATAGGCCAGGGTTCATCTTTCAGAGGACTCAGTTTACTTGCTAACTGAGCTTCATTTTCTTCCGAGACCAACTGCTTGACGAAGGAAGCATTTTCTTCCGAAAGATGCTCGTCCCACCAAGTTGGACTCCGGCTGTGGAGAGTTCGAACCACAAGCCAGGCGTCGGATCTGAAAAGAAAATCAAGCCAGTCATCATTCCTGCCTAGGGCCTGCGCTTGGCGTTTGTGTCCTGAAGGTCTCAGGAAGAGGTCTGGGTTGCGAATAAGCTTTTCTTTCCAGTTCACATTTCAATGGCAGAGGAAAAGTGTCCTCTCCTCCTCTGGAATAAACGGATTTCCCCGTCATCTTGCCTGAATGCAGGGGAGGCCACTAAACCCCCTGACACACACACACCCTCTGTAGGGCCGGGCGCCGGTGGCTCACCGCCCCTCATCCTAGCTACTCAGGAAGCTGAGGCCTAAGGATCAAGGTTCAAAGCCAGCCCTGGGCAGGAGCGTCCGTGAAGACTCTCATCTCTCATGAACCACCAGAACACCGCAAGTGGTGCTGGGGCTCAAGGGGTAGAGCGCCATCCTTGGAGTTCCTAGATGTGGCAAGAACAGCAGCCCCCGAGGCCCTGAGTTCAAACCCGAGGACTGGCACAAAATAAAAGGAAATTAAAAAAAATCAAACAACAACAAGACCCCAAACTCCTGCAGCTCCTCAGAGGGGGACTTCCTTC